GCCGTGCGCAACGGGGGTCCTTGCCAAGGGGTAGTTACTTTCCTCAGATTGGATGCCAGGGCACTGCTCATAACCGAATAATCGGCGCCGGTGTCGATGAGGGCAGTGACGACTCGATTATCGACGTGTACGGTGATGTCGGCGGAAACAGTCTTATGACTTTCGGAAACGACTGAAAAATCAGAACGGTCATCGTTGGGTCTTTGTGTCGAGGGAGGCTCTTTGGCAGTTTTTTGGGATGCAGCTTCACCCCCCGGAGCCGCGATTTCTAGTTTCCCCTGTGGAGACTCGGTGGCCAGCCTCTGAAAGGAGCATAAGATGACAAGGGAAATCTAGGTGACGTGGGGCAGCGAGGTGATGGTGATCGTGATTGGTGGCATTAACCAAGGCGAGGAGCTTGCTGGCTCGTAACGTACGCTTCGGTGTCGCGGGGAAGCTCACCGTAACGCGGGCACCGAGCAACAGGGTGGAAGCCACGGAGACCAAGTTGGCAGTACTGGCAATTGCGGCAGACGTGACCCGCTTCACCACAGTGGTAGCAGAGTGGACGGTTATCCGACGTACGCCATATGCTGGCCTTTGTGGCGTTCTGTCGCGATACAGATGGATGATAAGTGAGTGCACTTGAAAACCTTGAGGCGGGTAGCGGAGTCGAAGAGGTGCCCTGGAATTGATGGCTAGTCTGATCCATTGTCCGCATAGTGGGATCAGGAGCATGTGGTGCAGGACATCCCAGGGCCGCTTCGTAAGTCAGCACAGCGCCTCAGACCTTGTTGGTGCAACTGGGGTGACCACCTGTATGATCTCATTTCAGATTAAATCTGCGAGAGCATTTGCAGGTGATTGGGCTCTCACTGCTTGGAGTTGGCGCAGCTCGTCCCGCCCGACGCTTCTTATGAACTCTGCGAGGGCATGCCTCTCGCTGTCAGCCCCGATAGAGCATGCAGCAGTTGTGACCACGTGGCGTTCATACTGTGACGACCAATGCTGGAGAGTACGCTCCATTGTGGCTGCCTCATTTATGAACTGAGCCACAGTTGTGGGCGGATTGTGCACAAGCCCGGCGAAGAGCTGCTTTTGTGCAAAGAAGGTGCGGCATTAAATGCCACACCTTCTTTTCCTTGGACATTTCAGGGTCAGCACGCTTGAAGAGTCGAAGCATGTCTCTACAAACATCGAAACTCTCTCGTTAGGTCATTGATTCCGAGACAAGATGGCCTGCTCCGCTCTCTGCTTCCTTTCGGCGCTGCGGTATGCATCACGAAACTGTGGGCTGAACTTTTGCACGTAGCAAAGGAGCGCTCGTGGTTCTCATACCACGTTTTGGCAGAGTTTTCCAACGCAAAGCAAACTCTCCACAGCTTGCATGCTTCATGCCATTCGTTGATGCTAGCAACTTGATAGAAGTGGTCAAGCCAGTCATCAACATCATCATAAATGTCTCTATAAAATCAGCGTGGTGTTTGCAGTGCATGAAAAACATGCGGGAGAAAAGAATAGGCGTCGTTGGTTTGACTCGCCTGGTTGGTAGTCGAGGTTGCCATCTCATCTTGAGAGAGAGGACCGTATTCGGGAAACAGTCCTCGCAGGCGGCGACTGCTTCTTGCCGTGGGAGCTGTAGCTCTCTCCAAGTAGCTCGGTGTGTCGGCTGAAAATCTGGAGCCGAGGTGCATTTACCCCGCTCCTCCACCAGTGCCACGAATGAAATAACAGAGAAAGCCATGAATCGACATCTTGCTCGCACCCAGACCAGGAAGAAATTTTCTCTTCTTTCTTCACTTCCAAGCAATTTCACGCTACAGTTGATGGCTCATACCCATTTACCTGTGACAATATCATGACGATTTTTGGCAACACTTGCGTTGACGCCGAGAATCACTTTCCACATTATCTTTATTAACAGAAGCCTACCACCGTCGCAAAATTTGAAAGCCCATCCACGCAATGTACAAATGAGAGGTAGGCAGAAGACCATCCACGAGAAAAAAGCAACTATGCTAGCGCGATTATATGTGGCCTATTATCTTTCTTCTTTGGCCTGTGGTGGTGGCATGTGAATTTTATTCAAAGATAAATTCAGTTTTTGGATATCTGTAGAAATGCAATCTTCGGATATGTCATTTTTTATTAATCAGGAATGAGCAAAATGTAGAAATTATACAGCATTTTACATCAAAATTGAATTACTGCTCTACCTCCCTACACTGGCGAAAAAATCATAAAAATACCTGCCAGGTAAGGTAATTACTCTGCGATTGGCAACCCTCCTCAACCACGAGCAACAGCGAAGCATGACGCTTCATAGAGGATATAAACACCAGCATTGAAGCACTGCACAACTATGAGCTGGGGCAGAAGGTGTTTCTACGTTATAACACTGCTCTACGCAATGCACTGCAAGAACATTCAGTGCAGCAGGTGCCCTCTTGAGAACAACTTTGAAAAACGGCTCATGTTGAAAGTCAACAATACATCATAGAAGCCACAGGAAGCCTTCTCTCCACCATGCAAGCCACAGAAATGCGCGGTAGCTTGAGTGCACCTTGCTATTGTGTAACAGCTACAAAAATTTAAAGGAAAGTAACAAAAAAGTGATCAATTACAGTTCTATAATTGCTCAGTTACAATTCTCGGGCTGTGTTTGACTACTGTTATGAACTACTACATTTTAGCCCTTGGTGGGACAGTGGGACTGGTATGTTCCAATTTTTTGTCTTCCACAGTTGGAATTTTTTAAGATAAAAACTACTGAATCGATTGCTTTCAGACTTTTAGTGCAAACGTGTGGATGTTCTACAAAGCAGTAGTTTTAGTTGTTTTAATGGTATTTTCGAGATGGCAGCATCTATTTAATGGTATTCGAGGTGGCAGCATCTATTTACGTAAGAAACGAACGATTCTCTTTGCACGTACGATGTCCTTTCTTCATCAAATTTTGGCACGCTGTCAGCATGAAAGGCAAACTTGAAAAGCTTATTTCATGCCTACAAGTTCCCAAACATGCTATTATGGTGCTTTTTTTTCTGTACACCTGCACAGTTTCCACAAAATTTTGAGCAATGGAAAAGTGACAACCACTGAGTGATATATTTCCAAATGCATAGCGTTCTGTGCAACTGATTTCACTCATTTTCATTCTGCTCTATGTAAGGGAGTCTCTTTCCATTGAGGAAACAATTGAACTTCTTTTACGTACAAAAATTTGGCTGCTGCAGGCACGCTCAGTACCCACATGCGATGCTCGAGTGCTCTTAGCAACTGAAATTCACAATGAACATTTATTTCACTGTTTTTTTTTTTTAAAGGAGAGTATGTGTTTGTAAGCTCTGTCCTTTGTTGTTTATACAATCCAACCTTATTTCACACGCACGAATGCTTTCTGCCACTCCTTTTTTCCAGACACAATAGATATGTGGAATAGTTTACCCAATGCGGTTGTGCAACAAACAACATCAGTGGATTTTGAAAATGCATTGGACGGTTTTCTTTGTAGTGATGCGTGCTAAATTCTGTTGTCAGCATTTATTCGTTGATTTTTATGTGTGTAGTCACTGTTGCTTGTATCTTGTTTTTTTATTGTTGGTTATTCATCTCGTATTTATATGTGCTTTTGAATTTTTTTTTTGTGCGAACATTATGTACTTTGTGACACCCTCCCTGAAATGACCTCAAGCACGGGGTTGACAGTATCAAATAAATAAATAAAATAAATAAAAATAAAAAATTTAACTAAGTTTTTTTTTTCTGTAATGACTGTCCCTTAGTGGGACACAAACGTCCCACTGTTTTTCTTGCAAATCTTTTGAAATAGAGAGCTAAAATTTTGTATATATTACAAACGACGATGCTGCCCACAATAGGCAGCAAGCATTGTCCATAAAGTCATGCTTCATAAAGGGTTAAAGGAGGTAATTGTTTGCTTATTTTCTGTAACGTCCACAAGCCTCGTCACTCGGCAAACCGTGAACTATGACAATGACAAAAAAAGAACATTATGTTTCATTTACAATGCTAAGCGTTTTCTGCCTGACACGATTTTAGATATTGCATGACTTAATATTTCTGAAAAAGCCCTACTTATTTGTTCTAAATTTCACTTTACATTATTCAATCATGCGTTTGGAAACTACAATTGCCAAAAAGAAAGTTTTTCTTTTTCAGGAGAGTACTATTCTGATGCAACATGCAGATTTGAAAAATCCCTTTGGTCCCTAGATGACGCCCTTCAACTTCAGTGTAAATAAAAATTGACAGTGGGGCCAAGTGAGGTGGCCTTAAAAGAGAAGCCCATGTGCTTTTTCACTTTATTGTAATCTTGGAAAATGGTTGGCACATGTCATGGTGGTTGACGTAGCTCCAAGCACATCTCTCAGGAGCGCAATCACAAGTGTCACGGCAATCAGCCACCATTCTAGCAGAACAAACCCTGGTTGGTTCATGGTACAGCAAACCTGTAAACCTGTAGTGCATACAGACGAGGAGAGAGACATGTTTTGTCTCTTCACACTGCACATTTGCTTTTCCTCCCACATTCTAGATCATGGCGATCCCAGAAGTAGGTAATGACAGTACCCTGTCAGCTTACTTCATTATAAACAGTTAATGTTCGCAAGTTTTTAATGACTCGTAATTCAAATGGCCGACTTTTCATGGAGACTCCCCTAGTGTATCCATTATCTAAAATGAGGCTTCTTGTGTGTTTTGCGAGTTTGTTGAATTTGAGGAAGTCAATGTAATGCAATATCAAACTCAACACAGGAGACTGCACTGAATGCTATGAAAACTTGCAATGTCTCGTAGTGTTCCCAGTTTGTGTTTGTTATTTCGGCACTACAGGGATTTCATGACATTAACCAATTAGATGCCGAGCAAAGTGTCTCAAGTTCGTTGTACTATTTTGTCTTTAAATAACACTGAAAAATTGCAGGATAGAGGAGCAAAAAAAAATCGCCAGCTTATTTACACAACAACAACTTAAAGCTGAACGGAAAATAACACACCAAGTGTATGAGGAGGTGTCCATTTCCACAACCGATGTCCAGAATATGGCTTGCCTTCTCAGCATGCTGCAGCATCCATGTAGTGACACGATGTTCATTCTTGCTGCCGAACCTGATGAAAGAATTATTCGTCAAAAAACGGCACCATTTAGGCAGGCGTGCCTGATCAGAACGCTGCTGTCAAAGATGTTATTTCTTACACATTTCAAGGGTGCAGCAGGTTTAGTAGATAAGAGACTAAAAATTTTATTCAAGGAAAAAGAGAAGGGGACTTTTAGAGCTTCCATGGTTGGGGCCTGATTTCCAGGGCTCCACTGGCCTTAGCTGCCCATCGGACTTGATCTAGAAGTGCGAGCTGCACTCCTGGTCCGAGCTAGAAAGGTGTGCCTCCCACTGCTCCATATTAGGTCTTAGAGGTATGCCGAGAAAATCGGCTATGTTGCTTGGTTTACGATCGCACCCCCACGATATGTGGTAGAGAGTCAGCCTACCGCTGCACCATGGACACATGGCCAGGTAAAGAGTGGATGTATCGGATATAACTTCAGTAGATGCGGAAATATATCCGTCTGAATTTTTTCAAGGTCGGCAGCCTCTTCTTTCTTAAGGGGAAACGCTGGTCTTAAAATGAAAATTTTTTTATTGGAGAAACTATAATTAAATTAGGTGTGTATACGTATTTATTCCTCCTCTTTTCAAAAATGTAATTACCTTTAATGTCCACCAACTAGTTATCAAATTGTGAAAGGATAAGTGAAGTCTAGTTGTGTAATTTCTTATAGAGTCGTTAAGGCACTTTCCCTCAAAATATTTAGGTTCTGTTTGGGATGCAGCTGTAGCTAAAGACCTGCCATGTTGAGATATGCTATTTATATTGTCACTGAGATACATCACCATATAAAAATTTTCATTTGCATTGATCCTCCACAATTTTGAAGTTTAAATAGCTCACATTATTGTTCATAACATTTCGTATACCCCTTCTAGCCACAAAAAAATAGCATAGCTCCACAGTCCTGTTTCTTATAAGTTCCAATGGTATAAAATTTTCAGAAATTGCTTCACAAAAACATGATGAAAACTTCCAAAAGGCTGGTCAGGTTGGCAAGAAATGTGAAGCTGAGAAAATCGCATTTGAAGTTTCGACATGCACTGAAAAATTTTCCATAAAGCACTTTTACCACAAATTTTATACACATATTCCTCATCTATTCCCCTGCAAAACAAAGCAAAATTGGTCTTATTCCACCCTTAGAATCATTTCTAAAATTTTTTTTCCAAAGTGGAAAGCATTCTCAGAACCCCACCATGACAAGCTGTTGAGGGGCGTATGAATATCTCCAAGTACACAACAGTGCAGTGACGTTGATCTTCTACGTAGACGACTGTGCTCTGACTGTTGCCAACAGTGGCACATGAAATGGTCAAAATTATTTAACACGACATGCATAGTTAATGTATTTTGTTTCTCAATCAGATTATTAAAACTTGAGATAAATAATGAGACACAATGAAAGAACGTGGGCGTCTATTTTCATTTTTTCCTCATTAATTGCAACGAGATGTGGGGCTAATGTGCCGACGTTTCACATGCGTTCGTGTCCCCGCAGTCAGTGCATCGAGCAGAAAACAGCCGTGGAAGCAAAAGTAACGCTTCTACGTGTTGTTGCACTTATTGTTCTCGCACGCTTGTCAACAAAACGCCGCCTCCGTGCTCGGGGATTGGGCTTATCCGGACACGTCATGCGCACGTGACCTCTTAGTCGGATGCCGGAGACAGTATGGAAGAGATTAGGCTTGTGAAGGCTATGCGAGCGAGCGGCAAGGGTTTCAGAGTTCCTCTCCTCTCATTCTCATTTTGCACCACTTCAAAAAAAAAAAAAACAGTTTTCTCAGCTCGTAATGAACAGATTGAAAAAATTTTTGTGGCATAATGCTCCTCATTAGACACACAACACTTCCATGGTTTAACTGAAATTTGTTATAGGCCTGGTGAGTGGCCCTTTGAGGGATCTGCGAGGTGTTTCACATTTTTGCCACGTGAAGCACTGGTGAGCTAGAATCTCCCTAGGTAAAATTGGTATGGTCAAGGAAAGAGATAGATTCTCACTTGGTTACAAAACCTGCGAGGTAGAGCATCCGCCCTTTCGTTGCCTTCTAGCCCTGCGTGTCCCGAACACCATATCAAGCGATGGTGGTGAGTGAGTTTGGGTCTTGCTGCCTCAGCCCCATTGTCGGAAGGCGGCCAGTAAAAAAAGAGCCGGAAGGCCTCCTGTGAGTCGGATAGAATAATATGATTCTCCTCTATGCTCCTGAAACCTTAAGGCTAAGGCTATGGCTATCATCTCCGCCTTTGTAACCGAGGTTGTGCGCACGAAGGTCCCTTTGAGGTCGGAGGCCAAGATCAAATGTTCACCTCCTTGGGGTACACAACTCATGACCTCTTCCTTTAAAAGAAGGAAGGAGCGAAAACCTATTATGATGGTGGGAAAAAGGTTTTCTTTTTCTTTGTAATTTTGACGCCATGTTTGTACTACTTGCTCGCAGAGCTTGCTCATGCACGACGTAAGCAAAATGGGTGGCAGGGCTCCGAGTGGAGGTGTTTTACCTGGCTTCGGTATTGTTAGTATTTTGACTTTTTTTCATCTCCGGAAGAACGCGACCTTGGGACCAGCAGTGGTCATTGCGAAATTGCATTATCTGCTCAAGAACCTTACTGCTGAGGCTTCTGATCTTAGCCTTTGTTATACCATCCGATCCCGGCGCAGAGTTCCGATTGGCGGCTTTGACCACCGCGAAAGCCTTTTTTTTCATGATTTGGGCGTCCAATGTGGCATTCTTGCTTCTTGTGCACTCTGATGTGCATTGTGGAACCACATCAGTACCTATATAACCGTCTTTAGGCGCCTGTATCAGCTCTCCGTTGGTGATGGGGTAGCCGTGTACTATTCTTCAAAGAATGCGGCTCAAGGAGGACTTCGATTTGTCCAGCTCCAGCATGGCCCTGAGTATCGCCCACGCCTTAGTCCCTAGTGTAGCAGGAGAAAACCACAAAACTTTACACAACCATCAGTGGCAAGTTTTGTTGGGTATTCATTCGCTTCCTGTGACAGAGCAGCGATTCGCCTGTAGAGGCAGCGGTTGAGGCGTTGCTTTTTCCACCTTTTGACCAGGCATCGCCTACTATTCCACAAATGCAATAGGTGCCGGTCCATCACAGGCGCCTGAACCATGAGCATTATTTTCTTAGAGGTGGCACTATGCGTTTTGCGAATGCAAGCAACCCACCCAGACATCACCGGGCATTTGCTCCGGCAGAGGGCGCTTTCAAAATGTCACTCAGTCCGTCATTACGTCACTAGTGGCACGACAAAGTTCTGGTGATGCTATAAAGGTGATAAGAATATAATGGTCAATACCAAGATTTTCATTGAGGTTTGACCCTGTGGCATTTTTAATGTTAAAGGTGAAGGTCAAATCAGGGTGCGTGTCCCTGCTAATGCTGTTACCAAGCATGGTGGGTGCTGTTGGCAGAGTAATAAGGGTAAAACCTAATTTGGACGTGGTGTTTTCTAATAACACACCCTTGGATGAATCCCAGATGTAGCCCCAAGCGGTACTCGGAGCATTAAAGCCGCCCACCACAACTAATTGATCTCCGATGCCAACAGCTCAAGCTGCCTCATTTAAGAGTGGGGCAAAGTCGTCATACCTGTTTTTGGGAGGACTGTATATGTTGAAAATTTTTGTTCGCACTTTACCTCGTTTTTGTGGGAGAACATCAATTATTTGGCAATTAATGTCGGTCTGACTGTAATGACATAGCGTGACTGCCATGGATTGAGTCACCAGCGCTGCAACACAGGGGTATTTTAGATCATGTAATGTGTAATATCCCTGCCATTTGAAGGGACGATTCCCAACTTGCAGGAATATTACATCAGGTGGATTAGTGCCGAATTAATGTAATTCTGCAGTGTCGCCGCTCATTTGTGGAACGTGTGAGAATTCCACTGCCAGATTTTTAGGTGGTCGGAGTTTCGAATAAAATTAGCTCGCTCCATGGCGACTACTGCCTTTATTGGAGGTGTCCGCTTTCTCCGTGGTTCGACGGCCCTCCGGTAGTAGACTGCTCGCGGAGGTAATAATAACACGCTTGTTAATGGCACGCTGAATACCTACAACTGTGTCGTTAACGTATTGTTCTCGGTGTTCCATTTCTGCTGCAAACTCTTTCTTGTACTCCGAAAACGTTTGATGCATTTGCTGCACCATATGCTATCCGAGTTCAGAAACTGCTTATTGCTGTTATGATTGCGGTTCTCGCATCAAAATTTGCAACTATTTTCCCATCTGTAACTGGCTAATGTAAGCCTCCTTGCTAAACTTCTTAGGTATGCCTACTTTAGCCATTCCTCCCTCCAAAGAGTGGGCTATGGTTGCCCTGGAGATAGCATGAGCGGCCTTATTCGCCTATAAGGCGTTAAGCCTGGCTTCAAGTTTGGTTTATAACGATATGATTTTGTGGAACTCCCGGCGTTCCTCTTTAATCAGGCGTCCAAATTTCTCGTTTTCTAAAGCAAGTTGCTTATCCTCAGCAACCATTCTTCGATATTCAGACTTCTCATGTAAGAGAGCAGATGGGGATACAATCCTCGTCCAGCTCACAGTGTTTGCTAGCTGGCAGGTGGCTGCCTCCGTCTCCTCTTTGACGGCGCCAAGATTTGTACCAGTGCTTTCTTTTACGACAGCAGCTACTGTTGCAGTTGCTGTTGCTCCTGGTGCTGCCACTGATGCGGCTGTTTGTTGAGTCGTTTTCCGGATGAAGACTGGGCTCGACCCCTTGAGGAAGCCCGTAACTTGGATCTTGAATGTGAGTATGATTTCACTGATGAGTCCTGGTCAGAGCTGAACCAGTGTGGATGGTGCCTCCGTTCTGGCTGATCCAATTAGGACCTCCTATAGAACGTGTTGAAGTTTCTTCTTGCACATTTTGTCACCTGTGATGTTGTCCTCACCCCAGATCACGCACTTAGGGGTACACTCGTGTCTTTGTTCGGGTTCACGCATTCCACACGTGGAGTATACATTGGCGTCGGGCGTTGGACACAC